AACAGAAGGGGCCAGGTCGTGGAGTAGGATTGACATGGGCGGGTCAGGACAAGAGTTGATGGGGATTGCAAATGAGGAAGAGGAGAGAGATCAAGTAAGAGTTCGGGGAAAATGGGTAAGGAGTGTACGGGAGGCCGGGGATGGGCTCTAGATCGGAGGGGAAGTTGTGYGCCTCCWCTTTCAGTATGGGTCATATTAATAAGATGTCTTCCTTCATCGCCCTCATTCGGCGTATATACAAATTAAACTGTTGACGTCTACCTTCCATTGATGAATTCGGTAACAGCGATCCCCTAATTTTCGAACAAAAAAAAAAAAAAGGAAAAACATTCAAATCTCTCGCCTTCAGTCTCCTATCGTCTTCACCCGAATAGAACGCCCTGTCATCATCCTCGTATCTAGACGGAAATGCAGCTATCATGACCGGGCGTTGTATTCGGATGAAGACGATAGCAAGGCTCGCCTCGCCTGCTGTTAATTAGGAAAAGCTATAAATTCCCTCCTATGTATTCGGATGAAGACGATAGCAAGGCGCGTCCTGAATTTCCATTCAAGAGCTGTCAGATTCACTCTTGAAAACGTCGAGAGTGAGTCATAGCTGCACTAACTGTGAAAAAGCGCAAGAGGTGTCAGAAATGGCCCATCGGACGAGATCTTGAAGCTTCCACAGTTCCTCCCCGCAGGGGCATTTTTCTCAAACGAGGCCGTGCCGTTTGCAAATTTGAGAATGGGCCTCCAGTCTCGGTGGACATATCGTCACTGCCCTGTCGTGTAGTGTCTGTCCTACAGTCAAGTGCAAATTTGAGAATCGGCCTCCAGTCTCGGTGGACAAATCGTCACTGCCCTGTCGTGTAGTGTCTGTCCTACAGTCAAGAATGCTCACTACGACAGCACTTGATGCCAATCCAGGAGTCTGACAGCGCTAGACGTGCTCTTGAATTTTTTCATGTGTCTAGCGTAGTGCWGSGAGGCCCATAATCTGGGAAGTACSAGCGTGAGTATGCCCTCAGTAACGGCCTTTCCTGAGAAGGTGGAATACGCCCTGCCTCTCTGGCAGGGCACTACAAATAAGAAGGGAAAAAAAATTGAAAAGGAAAAATATTCGGCCATGATAGTGGTCAGATACATTCTGGACAGCATTATTGTAAGTATGCCCTAGGTCAGATGGCTTCCCCCACATCTCTTTTCTGTTTCTTTCATGAAACGGCAATGGCCTTCGTTCATCATTGTTCTGGATTTAGTTTTTTTTTTAAACAACGGTGGATGCGGCAGGTTTTGAGTTGGTGAAACGGCCTTTGTTCATCATTGTTCTGGATTTAGTTTTTTTTTGAAACAACGGCGGACGCGGCAGGTTTTGAGTTCATAAAGGCACGAAAAACAGGCCTTCGGCAACTGTGTCAGGGTGTTGCATACTCCAATGAGTATGGGCAAAACCAAGGATCAACCAATGTAGGATGAGCATATATGCAACGAAAGTCTGATGAACGGACTGACTCACATAGACTGACTCACATAGTATCACTCCACACACATACAATCGTGAGATGGTGGGGTCTGAGCCATACATAGAAGATGYTCAGCCCCGTACACATATACACAGATGAATGTGGGAGGAGAGACGAAGAGGTGGGGGGAGGTAGACAGCACCGAAAGTCACCGAGATAGAATCTGATAGATCACCAATATAGTAGTCCAAAATGCCCTCCAACAAGATCAAAATGTCGAGGACCATAGGTCACCAATGTCGGAGATACAGAGTCCAAACGTAACCGGTGTCTGAACTGTGATGTCGCCAAGTATCAACCCCAACAATCTCCAAGTCTCCAATCCGGTAAGGACCACAGTCTCATACCACCGAAGTCCAACTCTGATCTCTGTCCAACTAGTATAAGTCTCCAGTCTGAAGAAGAAGAAGAAGAAGAAGAAGAAGAAGAGTCTGAAGAG